CATTCTCTTAACTTTGCACGTGATACTTGGATTTCCGCACACACAGTTATTCATCATCACCTCCATTATGTCTGCCGCGTATTCCGCCGTCTCCATCGATCTAGTAAGTTTTCTGCCTCTATTCCTCCATTTTCTTTAAATTTGGCGCCACTTTTGGGGACATGATGAATGCCTCGAGGAGAGCGAGGGTTTTCCGAAGAATATGGCGGGAGACCTTTTTACCTGGTATAAAGGCCCCGAGGACAGTTAGCATTGTAGGATGAATGTCCCGGGGATGGTTGACTTGATATGGATGGGTACCCCGGGGACGCATCATAGTGTTAGATGAACACCCTCGGGACGTAGGATAGGGTTAGATGAATGCCCCGGGGACGTTGAATGAGATTTGATGAATACCCCAGGGACGTTGAATGGGATTTGATGAATACCCCAGGGAGGAATGCCTGGGCGGAGATGGACGCCGCGGGGACACGAGTCGCCGTCGAGTTGTGGTAGTCGTTCCCATCGCCCTTTCACTTGAGTTGTGGTGGAAGTGTGAATTTGATCTTGAAACTTCGAATTCACCATTTCCCTATGCTTTTCAAGTGAATATGACCTCGTGGGCGCCGAGAATCATGGAAGTCGACGTGGATCCGGAGGCTCCTGCTGCCGAGGTGCTGGCCCGTTCTGTCGAGGACCGGGTCGCCGAGGAACCTTTAAATATGTCATCATGTTTTGCCGACAACGACATCGGCGTCTATGCGACTATTGAGGACCGTTGCGAGGGCTCTTCTGTGAGCTGGCAAGTGTACCGACCACAAAACTATCATTGGATATGCTCGAACTACGGGAAGATGAGGTTCCCCATGTATGAGTTTTGCTTCCGCGAGGTGGGTCTTAGGCTGCCTTTTACCAACTTACAGTTGGGTGTCTTCGACTGGATGAAGCTGACCCCTTCACAGCTGTACCTCAACTCCATAGCCTTCATTTGGGCGTATGAGCTCGTCTGAGCATTTATAGGTCAAGGCCACCCTTACGTTGTTCTTTCGACTTTTCCACCTGTAGAGGCAGACGGTGGATGGCTGACAGGGGTGGGTGTCGCTGAAGCAGCCAAGGAGGATCTTCCGGGCATACATGGACTCTGTCCAGGATTTCAAAGTGCGTTTCTTTATGGTCTGACCTGTTTCTTTCGAGGCGCGCGCCTCCTTATACCAACGAGAAGCCCGTGAAGTGAGCAGGCAGCGAGAGGAAGTTATGGTGCCGAGGGTGCCCTTGGAGTGATCGGAGGAGCAGTTCAAGAAGGGCACAAATCACTATATCGTGCAGGCAGAGAACATGGATGAGGAGGACCTGGTGGACTACCAGAGAATAGTGTCCTTCGTGGCCAGCTTTTCCCCAGCCAAGCTTGTGACGCCCGATGGGAACTTCATCCTCGACAGTCACGGGAACATTCATCATCAGACGAGGCTGATAAATATGAAGGCTCTGCTCGAGTGTTCGTATGACGAGGAGGCTCTCCGTTTCCTAGGTAGTGGGTGATAATCTACCAGACTCTTTGGTCCCCGTTTGTCTTTGTTTTTGCTAATCCTTTCTTGTTACCTTTTGCAGGAAGTATGTCGACCATTAAGGAGCACGTGAGGAAGTTGGCAGCCTCGAGGGCCGCGGCCAAAAGCAGAAAGAGCAGGGTCTCCCAGGTGATGCAGCAACCTCCTAATGACCACGGAGGAAAGGAGTCCTCATCTTCGCCTCAGGGCAGCCACTCCCCGATGTCACAAGGGACCGCGAAGCGGGCGAGAGTTCAGGCGTCTGATGCTGTCTTCGACCTAGCGGAGTGAGTTTTTAAGGAGGTATTTCTCACCCCCCTTGCCACCAGTATCTCGGGTTCTTCCACGGCGCTAGGTCGCCGATGGTGTTGGCTTCAAAAGTGAAGGTGGTTTTCAGGGCAAGCCGGGACACTCGACGACAGGTGCTTATCGAGGATCTGGCCACGATAATGTAGGTTTTCTCAACTGCTTTGGTCTTAAGTGACAAGGAATGATCTTCTGCCGAGCTTGCCAAGCTACAGGAAGATCTCGCCTTTGCTCAATCGAGGTTGACCAAGCTGACGACAGAGCTGGATCTGAGCAAGGAGGATGTGGCAGCGTAATACAAAAGGGGTATCAACATTGAGGATCGGGTGAAAGCCACCGAGGAAGAACAGTCGAGGCTGCAGGCTCGAGTGGAGGAGCTAGAGAACTCTCTTCGTCCTACCGAGGACGAGACAAATGAGGAGAAGCTCTTGCTCTCCCATGCTGACTTGCTGGGCAGGATCCATGAACTGAAGCATGACTATTTGGGGGCCGTTGAGGTTGGGTTCTCCAGTGTTATGAAGCAGCTCAGGGTCATGAATCCCGAGGTTGCTCTGGTTACCGAGGGGATTGGGCCCTATCACCAGGTCGTCGATAGATGGATGTTCGTGGCAGCCGACGAGGAGGATGAGGACGTCACGTCCGTTGATGAGCCTGAAGGAGGTCAACCCGAAGCTTAGGTTAGGTGTTCCCAGGCCTGCGTACCCATTTTTGTTTAGTAGTTTTGTCGGGCATGCGTGCCCTTTTTAATGTAATTTTCGGCTATTGGGTTAGTTCCCCTTTGATTATGTAATGATATTTTTCTTTTTGCTAAGTGTGTACTTGTTTGTATGTTTGCATGTTTGTATGCTTATATGTTTGTATGAATTTGTATTTTTGTATGTTGTTGGGAGTGTTGCTCGATGCTTTATCAGTTGTGTCAGGTAGTGTAGGGAACTGGCCGGGATGATCGGGGATGTTACCTGGTTGGTTACAAAGAGGTACCGTGGTCGCGGACCTCTCTCTACAGCGTGAACGTCCCATCGCGAGTTGGCTGTTCTGCTATCTTGGTACGGCGGTGGTGGCTCTCGGTTGAGGGGTCCCCGTTGAACAGAGCGCTCGGCTCGCACACACGACATGGCAGGCATTTGTTTTGGTTGAGTTTGCGCACGGTACTAGGGTGCGCTCTCGTGATCGTGAAGTCGTTCGTCACGGGCAGTGTTTAACTGTAGTATCTTTTAAACCTTACAGCGTTCCATGGTCGAGCAATTTCCTCCCCGTGTAGGTTTTCGAGGTAGTAGGTCCATGTTCTGTTTTGTCCCGGACACGATAGGAGCCCTCCCAATTTGCAGTGAGCTTGCCCTCGCGTGAGTCCTTTTGGTTTCTTTACAAGACCAGGTCGTCGACCTGGAATTCGCGTCTTATGACTTTGTTGTTGTAGCGAAGGGCGATTTTCTACTTTAGCATGGCCTCGCAGAGAGCTGCTCTCAAGCGGATCTCTTTGACCAAGTCGAGTTCTTCTTGGAGAGCCTCGTTGTTGGTCTCCTCCTCGAGGGGAGATTCGGTCCTTCTAGAAGGATCCTTTATTTCAACTGGGATCACCGCCTCGGTTCTGTAGGTGAGTCGGAAAGGGGTCTCTCTGGTGGCCGAGTACGGCGTTGTTCGGTAGGCCAAGAGCACGTTGTGGAGCTCCTGGACCCATATTTTCTTGGTGTCCCTAAATCTTCGCTTTAGACCTTGGAGGATAACCCTGTTCGCAGCCTCTTCTTGGCCGTTCCTTTGTGGGTGTTCGACTGAAGTAAAGTGATGCTTGGTCCTAAGTTTGGTCACGAGTCTTGGAAGTTCTTGTTAGTGAACTGTGTTGTTGCACCCCAAAATTTGCCCTTACCTTTTCTAACTTTTTCTGGCTTTTATTTCGCATTCATCTACATCTTATTTAAGTCATAATCATATTCTACATTGGTCTTCTAAGACATGGGATCATGAGTTTCTCCGAATCAGGTCATAGAGTATCAAGATTATATTCTCTAAGAGTTGTTAGGCATCAAGGGCCTAGGGTTTCATATTTCCTTTGGTTCAAGTAGGCCGCCAAGCTTATATTCAGTTGGTGTAAAGTTAGGGATCATGGTTAACAGGGACAATGGTTTACCTTTAAGTCAGGGGTGGTTATTCAGTTGTATCAGATGGAAGTTTGACCTAATCATGGTCAAACCATCAAGAAATATCTTCAGTTGCAAGTTATCTGTACCATTGGATTAATTTCACAATGGTGTGTCCCAAATTCAAGTTGTCATGTGTGGGGGTTATCAGACTATCAAGCATTGGTCCCTAGAGAGTTTTGGTTCAGAAGTCAGGATTATCGTGATCATAAGTCCAGTGGTGGTTCATTAGTGGATTTATGTTCCTCAATATGGATTCAATAATCAACGCGAGGTTTCAAATTGTTTCAGATGGTTGTTGAGAGTTGTTCATAGCAGTTGTGTTCATTTGGATCAGAGATTTGCTAGTTGAAAGTGAAGACTTCACGAATGTGTTGTTGGAGAATACCAGTATAAAGGCAATTCATATTACAAAACCCAAAGTCCATATCTATTTTCTTATCCATATTCAAAACCATTTATTTGGCCCACTTCCATTTTTCTAACCCATGTCAATTCTTATGTACATATATCATTTTCTATCCAAGTTTTGATTCATTTATCCTTTTTATTCTAAATTCGTTATTCATTTCCAATTTTATCCATTTGGTCATTTCTTCTACATCCACTTTTGTTAATCCATCTTTGGAACCATTCATCTTCATTCTTTTATTTAACCATTCATAAAATTCTAAAATTAGTGTTTAATTGTCCATTAATTATAATAACCAATTTGTCCAAATTCACTTCTTATCTACATTTCAATCTCAAGTCATGATTCAAGAATCTCTTTCAAAGTCCATTAATCCATGTTAATAAATTACATCCTTTTCTTTTTTTTAATATTATTTTTGCAAGTTTCTACACACAAAAAACATAGGGTCTATTTGTTATAACCAAAAAGCCCAATATCTTGTTTACCCATTCATTACAGCCCATAACTGAAATACAAGTAATGATGATGTAGACAAAACCAACACAACTTTTACTATGCGATCCTATCTCCACTTTTGCCAAAAAAACCAATAAAATAATAAAACTCCAATAAACACCACTGCTATACCAATACACCTTCACAACGACACCAAGCGAAATAGTTGTTTTGTACGATAAACACCATTTTAAAAAACAACAGCTCCAACTCTGCAACATTCCAAAAAACCTCAGACCTATCACCTGCACACAAAATCTACAATTACAAAACACTCCCAGAAAAACTTGTGTTGTACAACCATTACCACAACCATATACGCCACCTCCATGCCAGACAAAGCAAGAAAATCGTACCGCGTGCGACGAAACCATACCATCTGCAAAACCTGCAAAGCCATTCGCACAACTTACCACAATTCACCAACAACAGCTGTTATAACTTGCAAACAGAATAAAAACCCGGAAAAAAATAAAGAAGGAGGGTACTGCTGTTTTTTCTCCAAACCAACATCAAACCAAAGTAGAACTCAAAAAAACAATCCTCTTTGTCGCCCCTTAATATCCCTTAAAACCTCCTAATTTCCTTGGCTTGCTCTCTTCACCTAACCTTCTTCAAATCTCAACCCTCAGACTAAACCTTCAACCTCTATTATTAACCTTTCTTTAGCTCATTATGAAATACCCAAACCACAAACTTTTCTTTTTACTCAACACAACCATTTCACCGCCTCACCAGAACCCATAACCCTTTGAAACCCATCCTCACTTCTTTAAACTTCTAAATCTGAACCCAACAATCCTCAACCAAAACAAAACAAAAAAACCTAGAATGAGAAAGTGTGAAGAATAAGGGTCTGAACCGAAAATGGATTGAGCCGAAAGAGATTGCGAGAAGAAGACATTCATACCTGAAACGAATCCAAAGCAACCCATGGAATTGGAACGGGAAGATAGACCAAGAAGATGAGAATGATGCCTGGAGGAACACTAAACATAAGGAGGGTCAAAATCTCACGACTTCGTCCAAATCGTCCCCTTCATCAAAGCTTTCACGTTCTGGGATCGTTTTACCCTTTTGATTTGGGATTGTTTTCTTAAAATAAGAGAGAGAGCTTTGAATGTTTGACCCTTTTTTTGCTGTGTCATTCCGTGCGAGATGATGCGTTCACGTATGCCTTTCATGTAAGAAGGGACTCTCTATTTTTGTGCTAAGTATGTTGGTCTTTGGGTCTTAGGCCCACTTGTTTTTTCTTTGCCACACACCTCCAACTATTTGCTACACCCCCTTGTTTGCATGGTGAGAAAGCCTTTGGGCTTATGAAAGGCCCACATGATTTTTCCTTCTAACACCCATATTTTCTACACCCCTCTTTTCATCTAATTTTGTTTTAATCTAGTTTTAATCTTAAAGTTAACCTTGATTTTAATTATGGTTTATTTTCTGATTTTAATTAATTGTTGATTTTAGATTTAGATAACGTTTAATTAACTTTTAATTTTGACTAATCTTCTATTTTTAGTTTATTAGTGTAATTAATTTATAATTAGATTAGGATTTTAATTATCTTAGGGTTATTTTTTAGCCTTTAATTAATTAACCTTAGTTTTAATTTTAGTTAGGATTAACTTCCAATTAGAATTTAGTTAATTAGAATTTAGATTTAACTAAATGAGACTTTTTAATCTTTGACTAATTGTTTCGATTAATTCTTGAATGCGTTTGTGAATATATTTCTTTTATTGACACTTGTGTATACTTTTCATAAATATTAACTTGAGTTTCAATACTTGATGTTGTCTGTGATTGCGATGCTTAGTGTTTTCTCATTGTTCACCACTTGTTCTCTTTACAACTTTTCTCCTAAAACCTTGGTTTCGAACCAAGCGCATTTTCAAACTATTTTCCCAATAAAACTTGGATGGTTGTGGAGTGGTTAGGCGTAGGCCTTCTCCTATCCTGAGTGCTTGACATTATTTTTAAGGTTCACTGTCGTAAAAGCACTTACCATTCAAGACTAAAACATCTTTTAACAAGAGAATAAAGTTCTGTTTGTATCGAACTAAAGAGAGAGGATTGAGTGCAGACTTCTCCCTCTCCGAGTGTCAGGATACTCACTGTAGGGTGTGTGGCCTCGATACTCGTCTTTCAATATGAAGACGTGACTATATTCGCCACATCTTTTCACAATATTCCTTTTGAGATAAAGAATTGGGTACTACTCGCAATGGGTTACTATCCGAAGACCTATTTCACCCCTAAAAACAACTCTCATAAATCAAATATGACATCTTTCCTCGAAGGCGAAAACTCTCTTTTCGAAAAGGATATGTTACATCCGTTCTACCGCAAACAGGTAACGCCTAAGACTCCACGAGCGAGCTGCAATACACCTAACTACTAGAATGTGTATGTTAGCATCATCCACATAAACACCGGTTAACCCCCCCGAACTACGTTTGCTCTGATTTCTCATAACAGATGAGAATACATAGGCACAAGATGGCGATGTCTTGGTGAACGCACTTTTCCAACTTTTAGTCGTAGGCCGAACTAAGGTTGAGATTTGTGAGATATTATATCAAACTCTAGAATGGTCGAAGTTTGTTCACTAGTAATGCGTGTTGTAGTCGAAGTTTGTTCTACCATGCATTAGTCAATATTGCTAGGTTTGTTAGCATGATGAATTGAGTCTTGCTTGTCTAGATATAATGTTAGTTATTAAGTAAATTATTGACAGAAATAGTGTTAATTATTAAGTAAATTTACGCGAACAAAGTTAATTAATGTTGAAAACAAAAGTATAAGGAAAGTGAGAGTTGATCCTTGTGATCATATCCTTGGAACTGAAAAACTTTAGGAGTCATGTATAATGGAGTTCCACAAACTGTCTCTCAACATACTCATCCGGGCGCGCAATTCTCGTCAAGTTAATGAGAGTAATAATAAAATCAAAATAAATAAATTTCCTTCCAAATATTCATCTCGCTTAACTGATCCACTACCTTGAGAGACCAAAATCAGCAATTTTTAGCACCACATCAGCACCTTTTGCATGATAGGAAAACATTTGGATTCCACAATAATAACACGCAATGTAAAAAAATGTGTCAGATCTCAATATATTATAGTCACCAACAACAAATTGATTATCATGAACACAAAAACTCAAGTTTTTTTTGTTAATTTTTAAAGTATAGTGTGGTCCATTAGATCTAGATTGTGTGCAGTCACAATCTTGTGTCTGCCTGCAGGCAGTCACCCACATGCATGTTTGATCTTCTAGATTCAGGCTTCTTATTTAAAACTTTGAATAAAAAATAGAAATTGCATTTGAAAGTTGTACCATCAAATAAAATCCATTAAATTTCATGAAAACGCGCATTTAAGTTTTACCCCAGGTTTCAAGTCTCTATGAATGATGCCATGATAGTGTAGTACTTTTTAGATTAGAGCCTACATAACATATTTCAATTGCATCAGTGTTAATTCTGAAATAGAGCTTCAACAAAATATGCCAAATATAGTACAACTACTAATTTAACATACTGATAAAGAATTAAGATAAAAAAGCTAAAACTACCAAGTTGTTGCATGAATATTCTGGCGGTTAGTTGTAGAACTCTTCCATGGTATTGAATATAAGAAGCTAGATGTCCACCGGTACAAAACTCAAGAAATAAGTAAACACACATCCATCACCTTAAAAGTAACTAAGGTAATTATTGGTACAACTAGGCTCCAAATAGGATTGTATGTCCTTGATGCTACCAGTCAGTCATCTGTTTACAATTCTTCTGTCAATACCTCATGTAATCTTTGGCACCTAAGATTAGGCCATGTTTTTGATATAGGCATGAAAGCTATTTCACAAGTGTTTCCTTTTATACCATGTAAATCCAACGATATTCCTTGTGATTCATGTCATCTTGAAAAACAAATAAAGTTACCTTTTCCACATAGTGTATCTCATTCTAGTGCTCCATTTGATATTTTACATGTTGGTGTATAGGGCCCCTATTCTACTATTTCTATGTTAGGCCACAAGTATTTTCTTTGGTAAATGACTATAGTAGGTATATTTGGGGTAATTTTTCTTAAAACCAAAGATCAAGTTCAAACTAGTCTGATTTAGTTTGTAGCATACTTAGAAAATCAATTCAAAACTTCTCTTAAATGCCTTATGACTGATAATTGCACTAAATTTCTCACTTTCGATAATTTTCTTCGATCCAAAGGCATAGTTCACCAAATCTCTTGTGTTGAGACACCCCCAACAAAATGGGGTGGTTGAAAAAATACATCAACATATTCTAAATGTAGCCAGATCTTTGTACTTTCATTCCAACATTCCTTTAGCAATGTGAACTTTCTTAACACAACATGTCATTCATATTATCAATAGACTACCATCTACTTTGTCAAAATTCAAATGCCTATATGAATTGTTGTACTCTCAACCACCATCTTTAATCCACTTGAAAGTTTTTGGATGCTTATGCTATGCTACAACTTTATAGGCTCGCAAAACCAAGTTTGACCCTAGAGCTAGAAAGTCCATCTTTCTTGGTTTCAAGGATGGTACTAAAAGCTACATTCTCTATGATTTACAACATTAGAATATTTTTGTCTCAAGAAATCTTATTTTTTATGAAGACCATTTTCCCTTCAAATCTTCACAAAAACCTATTATTATTGCTACTAGTATCAATCATGTCAACTTCCCCCTTTTGAGGATTTTCCTGCACCACAATCTCCCACTAGTACAACTGATGTTTCTCTTTCCCTTGAATCTAGTACTTCTGGTACATATGTCAGTTCACCTGCGACAGGTCCTTTCTCATCCACCCCTATTTCTCATCTTGTCCTATTCTCACATACTTCTCCTACTATCCCAAATAATTTCAGTGGTCAGGATATTCCTATGTCTCCTTTATCCATTGGTTCTCCTACTGATGTAAATTTTTAGTCCACATCTAATGCTAATTCTCCTTCTGCATAATCACCTTTATCCATCAGTTCTTTTGATACTTCTCAAGACCAATCTTCACCCATCACTTCTCATATTCCTTTCAAGCATTCTACTTGTGCCTCTCATCCTCCTAGTTGCTTGGCTGACTATCATTGCTATGTTGCATCTCATGATGAATTTGCATTACATCCTTTTAATTCTTCTACTACACATCCTTTATCATTTGTTATATCATATTATAAATGTTCTCCATCATATAAGCATTTTTGTTGCTCCATTTATTCTAATGTTGAATCTAAAACATATAACCAAGCCATTAAGTTTGATTGTTGGAAACATGCCATGGATGTTGAGTTACAAGCTCTTGCAGATAATCATACTTGGGATGTAGTTGATCTTCCTTCTGGTAAGCATCATATTGGAGACATGGGTTTATATGGTAAAGTAGAAAGTATATGGCTCCGTTGAGAGACATAAAGCTAGTTTGGTTGCAAAAGGTTATACACAGTTAGAAAGCATATATTATTTTGATACTTTTTCCCATGTAGCAAAGCTTACCACAGTTAAAGTACTTTTGTCCATAACAGCTATCAAGGGATGGAATTTGGAACAACTTGATTTAGCAATGCTTTTCTTCATGGTGATATCCATGAAGAGGTTTACATGACCCTCCTACTTGGTTTGCCTACTTCTAGTTCCTCTCAAATTTGCAAACTTCATAAGTCTCTTTATGGCTTGAAACAAGCCAGTAGGGAATGGTACTCCAAGTTGTCTTCATTTCTTACCTTCATTGAATATATGATCCAATACTGATTTTACTGCTTTATTGGTATATGTGGATGTTATTGTTTTGGCAAGCACATCTTTATCATAAATACAACATGTCAAGCACTTGTTACATCAAACTTTCAAAATCAAGGATCTTGGTCAATTGAGATTCTTCCTTGGATTTGAAATTGCTAG